TTTTCCCTGAATTATAAAGAGACAACTTGCGCGTGATGTACTGTATGTACATAGTTTTTGCTAAAAAAATACATACCATCAACAAAACCCCTTCATATACATTCTGTTCTATGAATGAATGAATGACTTTATTAAAGAGTGAAAAATCCACAAAGTGGTTTTTCATTCTACAAGCAAGAAGCAAAAAATCTCGATTATTTACTCTTGGGTTTAGAGCTCGACAGCTGTCTCTCTGTAGTTCAGTTGGTTAGAGCTCGACAACTGTCTCTCTGTAGCTCAGTTGGTTAGAGCTTGACAACTGTCTCTCTGTAGCTCAGTTGGTTAGAGCTCGACAACTGTCTCTCTGTAGCTCAGTTGGTTAGAGCTTGACAACTGTCTCTCTGTAGCTCAGTTGGTTAGAGCTCGACGACTGTCTCTCTGTAACTCAGTTGGTTAGAGCTCGACAACTGTCTCTCTGTAGCTCAGTTGGTTAGAGCTTGACAACTGTCTCTCTGTAGCTCAGTTGGTTAGAGCTCGACAACTGTCTCTCTGTAGCTCAGTTGGTTAGAACTCGACAACTGTCTCTCTGTAGTTCAGTTGGTTAGAAAACTCGACAACTATCTCTCTGTAGTTCAGTTGGTTAGAACTCGACAACTGTCTCTCTGTAGCTCAGTTGATTAGAGCTCGACAACTGTCTCTCTGTAGCTCAGTTGGTTAGAGCTCGACAACTGTCCCATGCATCAACTTTATTTTAACGTATATACTATTTGCTCGTTTGCAATTTATTTAGGAATTTATAAATACTGCACTTTAAATATAATATTCAATATATTCAGACATCAAGAAGAATTAATGCGGATTTATTTTAAATCATCGTATTTTATGTTATCGAAAGGATTTACTATAATCCATCATGATTATACATCATAAACATATATACATACACTACCTATATATGCCTGGCTATAGCCAGGTAACATATTAAATAAACTGTGTGTGTACAGTTCACTTTTGAAAAAAAGAGACGTTCAGAATTATAATTATAAAGGTAAGAAAATAACTTCAGAGCTAAATATCGCCATATCAAAGCTCAGAATATTCATATAGCGTACACCTTGGGCTTGGAACCGACGTTTCCGCCCGTATTATTGAGTTGTCTGCTTGTAATGGGTGATAGCATATGTTTACAGATTGCTGGGCTTTACAAGTATATTTTATGAATCTGCACAGGCATAAATAAAGTTTTCTTAATTGTTTATAGTTTCTAAAACTTGCTCTTTATATATGCGGATTTTTTTCGACCTGGCCGTTCTATCTATACAGTGTAAAGATGTTGTTTTTACTAATCAGAGTAATGGCCATCGTTTAAATGTCTGTTGTTTACGATAATAAGGAACTTAAATAATAAAATCAGGACACGAACGAGCTTGTATACACAAGTTGTGTTAGTGGAGGTTCTGCCACTTATAGCTCTAGCAACAAGCGCTAAACGACAACAATTCACAGCTGTTCAACTATCAATATAAATGAAAATTTAATACATCCACGTCTGAAAGATTCCCCTCTTTTGACAAACGCTAAAATTCTTCGTTACCCCCAATTGCTGCTAGGCTGCGAGAGTTGAAAGTTTTCAACAGTCGCCAGCTCTCTCTATAGAAACAGTCTCGAGAAATTTAATACTGTAGTTATAAAACTATCATCTAAACTTCATCAAATTTACAGCCTAAAACCGCAGAGCCATGGAGATACTATAGTCACTTTAAATATGTTTTTATAAATTTAGCCTTAACTCTTATTGGTCGAGTTTACTCGTATCTAGAGACACACGTGCAAAGCGTTTCAGCTGCTTTGAAAATTTTTGCTTGGCAGCTGGCCGAATTTGCTTAGTTTTTGCTAAAAATATACCCAAATTTACACAAATAAAGATTAAAATGAAAAGCGAAAGCCTTTTGGGATGCTTTTGTGTTTACAAAAGCGCAATTTGCCAATATTTCAAAAGACAAATCGGCATAAAGTTGAAATTGAAAACGAAATCTCAACGGCCCGCCACGCTTTTCGGATTCAAGCGTTTTCCCGGTGGCTTTGTTTTGCTAGAGCTGCGCGCATTCTGATTGGTCGAACTGCAGGTGATTGTTTATATTACTGCGCTGTGATTGGCTGCGTTGGCAAACTTTTCAGATGCTGTTTTCCCGCGGTAAAATGCACCTGTGTTACTGCTGAAAGTTTGGAAAAAATTTAGTTGAAAGCCGGCTGCAAGCGTGAAAGCAAGAGAAAAAGCACTCAAACTGGACAAAGATTCAACTCTTCTCAACGTTTCCAAACTCATATTCGACAGTTTAAGGTATGACTAGACTTTTAGAGACGTTTCAATGCAGCAGGCGCGTTGAAATTCGCTAAAAATACAAAACTTTATATGGCACAATAAGCTATAGCGTCTAAAACGCATGTGTCTGTATTTTTAAATCCCGTTTCTACGGACGAACTTAGTCAAATATTTCTTCGCCTCGCGCATGGGATTTTGTAAAATTGCCAGGAATAACAGCGGCTCTTTCCTGCAGAGTACTGGACTTACCACGGCTTTATAAGTCGTCTACTATATCACATGCGCCAGAATGTCTCGGTATATTTTGTCAGTGTAAGGCACCCGTGGTTTTTGTCGTAGCGATGTTAAATTGGAGTGCAATTTGTACCACTGGTCTCTGTGGATGTTATATGTAAAATAAACCGGAAAATATGATCCCACATTGAACATCAGTGACAGATTTCTTCCATAACATTCATTGAAATCCGATCTGTGTTAATTCCTGTTTTCTAGTGATATACTTTGAGAAATGCAAGAATCAAGAGAAGTGATATCGCAAAGAAGATCACAGCAGACGAAATGTGACGAGTTTTCACAGCTCAGATCCGTTCTGCCATCTATCTCCGAGAGACGTCACACTTCTCCGGTAAGAACACATCTCCGGTAGAGGTCATTTCCCCAGTAGATTGTTTCCCGGTAAGGGTAACTTCGCCGGTAGCGACGTTTCCCCGGTGAAGATATTACGAAAGTCACCGAACTGTGGAATCGCATCAAAAATTCGTATATCGACCACTCCCACAAACGTCTACGACCACGCCTACATTCGACTACATAGTTTTGCATGTTTACAATTCTAATTTTGAACAGCCAATCAGGTTCTTGGTAATTGGCTGTTTAAAATTAGAATTGTAAACGTACAAAATTATGTAGGCGCGGTCGTAGACGTTTGTGGGAGTGGTCGATATACGAATTTTTGATGCGATTCCACAGTTCGGTGACTTTCGTAATAACATCCCCGGTAAAGAAAAGTCCTCTGAAGAACAGTGGGATTTTCAAAACAATGAAAAGACAATGGAACATTCTGATCACTGGATCATGACTGGATGGCATGGAGAACAGTGGGATTTTCGAAACAATGAAAAGACAATGGAACATTCTGATCACTGAATCGTATCTGGCTGACATGGAGAACAGTGGAATTTTCAAAACAATGAGAAGACAATGGAACATTCTGATCACTAGACCGCATGACTGGATGGCATGGAGAACAGTGGAATTTTCAAAACAATGAAAAGACAATGGAACATTCTGATCACTGGACCGCATGACTGGATGGCATGGAGAACAGTGGAATTTTCAAAACAATGAAAAGACAATGGAACATTCTGATCACTGGATCATGACTGGACGACATGGAGAACAGTGGAATTTTCAAAACAATGAAAAGACAATGGAACATTCTGATCACTGGACCGTGACTGGATGACATGAAGAACAGTGGGATTTTCAAAACAATGAGAAGACACTGGAACACTCTGATCACTGGATCGTATGTGTGATCCGTGCCTCGCGTGGACAAAATAATAAAACACGATAGAATTTTTCCTCACGGTCTCGCGTGTTAAATTCCGCAGCAAAACCCGTGCGCACACGAGAGCTTTTAGCTAAGCTGTTGCCACGCGTGGAGATTAGGCTCAGCCAAAAGCTCTTGTGTATACAAACATACCATCATATACAAACATACCATTCTATTTCAGGATATTACAATCAACTAAAAACATTTCTCCTGTTACATGACGTACAGGAACAGAAGCAGAAGGAATTTCCAGTGTAAATAAGCCCATAAATGGTTAGATATTTTTTTAAATACTGTGTGTAATTCACGTCTACTTACGACACAGGGTCGTGTATGTAAAATAACTGCTTCTAAATTCTGCATGCTTTATGCCGTCGAATCCTGAGAAATAACAAAAAATAAATCAGTAATATCTGTGGTATTGAACCCAAAGTGTTTCATTTTTTGAAATGGGTTACTCAATGGCTAATCAGACTGCCAATACATCCTGTTAAACCTTTTAAAAATAGCACAGTGACGCAGCCACGATTTCTAGTCAAGGGGCCAAAAAAAAAAACCCAGGAGGGGTTGACCCTGCGCTAGTACGAATAAAGTTTGTTCATTATGTTAAAATGTATTTGGACTCACACGATCTCCATGAATAATATACTCACTGAGTACAATAAACTTTTAGGGGGGGGGGGG